GCCCCGTGCAGCTGGCCCCAGGCCCCGCCTGGCCCGCCCTGGAGCCCGAGCCCCTGGCCCGTCTTTGCCGGGAGGTTGCCCCACTGCAGGACGGGCCACGCTCGGTAAGAGCCCCTGGGCCACCAGCCCCGTCCCCCCAGAGCCTAGCAGGACGGTCCTCTGCTCTGGCGGTGCCAGGCGGTGTCCACCCAGCCGGAGCCCGCAGCACCCCTGGGCCCCGCTAGGTGGCAGGACGCGTCCCTCGTGCAGCACGAGGAGGTGGCCCCGCCTGGGCCGTCCAGTCGGGAAGGGAATCAGACCGGCGTAGACTGGGGGGTGTCTGGGGCACCACGCCCTGGGCGGGGTGAGTGGGGTGGGGGCCGCGGGGAGGCCGTGCGCCGGCCACCAGCGCACTGTGGGGGGCCTCGGCCAAACCCCAGCCTGTGCCCAGCGGCCCGGTCGCCCTTACCCGTTCTCCAGGGTCACCCACTTGGCCCGTGGGCCCCATCGTTCCTGGAGGCCCCGGGAGACCCTAGAGCCAAAGGCAAAATCAGAGCAGGGACGCAGCCACAGGGCGAGACCCCGTCGCCACCCCCAGGCAGAGGTGAGCCCCAGGCGCAAGCTCCCCGTCTTCCACGCGCGGTCGCCGTAACGGGGTGTCAGTGCCCCCGCCCCCAGCACCCCAGCAGCGGGGACGCGGGACAGATACTCACGGCAGGCCCTTCCGGGCCAGGCGGGCCCTCGACGAGCATGCCCTGAGGAGAGAGCCGGCTGAGCTCCGGGCGGCGGGCGCCCGTCCCCCCACCTCTGGGCTGTGTCCAGTCCTCACTGGACAGGCAGCAGGAGGCTTTCCCTCGAGGGCAGCTGCCACAGACTCCTCACCCAGAAAGGGGACCAGAGCTCTCTGCTGGCCCCCAGGGGAGCATTGCAGAGGACCCCGGGGTGAAGTCGGAGGGCAGGTGGAGGGCACATGGGCCCGAGGAGGACAGGGCAGAGGCCCGGGCCAGGCCGCGGCAGCAGAGGGCAGCGTGGGCGTCTGCTCTCTCACTGCCCACTCTCGGGCCTCCGCTCTGGCGCCCCCAGCCCTGCGGTCAGAGCCGGCCCGGCCCACACCCCCGTGCCGCTGCCCGGGGCC